AAAGTATCTGTGCTGCCTGGAGACAACGTTTTGTGGCTATGAAGTCAAAGGTACGGGCGCACGTGGTTGAGGGTCGATTGAAGGTGGGCCAGGCTATCCCCTCTCTCGAAAATGCCACAGAAACTTATCTCCGATAAAATTACTAATAAAATATATGAAAATCTAATTATGCTGTTGCAGTTTTTCTTCGTTTGTTCTGAAATGTGACGAGATTTAATTTGGACTGAGTCGGTCGGCTCACTCATTGGCCCTACGTTTCGGTAAATCTCAATAAGAACGATTTGTTTCCGTGCTCTCTTAAATGGGCATCTAAGTGTCTTTTGCAGAAGCTTGCTTTTGATTGCACATAGTTCGTTGGGCTACGGTCAATAAATAGGACTATAGTTCTAGATGGCAAGACGCCCTAGCAAACTCACAGCAATAGGAACGCACGGCCACATATATATTCTCCTGGGGAAAAAGAAAGGAGGGAAAGGGGGGGGGGCATCTTCGGGTCCTCACCACCACCTCCGTAAAATTTGACCAATGAAAATAGTTAATTGCGTGAAAATTTCGAACGTTACTATTATTGCTATTTGTAGGCCCGTTCTATTATACTTTGGCAAAAACGTCAAATATTTGGGCGTAGGAGACGTATCAGCTCCGATGCGCTGGAAAATGGGCGCGTCACGATGTTTGATTAGATTTTTAGAAGGGAATCGGCCGCTCACGAGTGCAATTTCGGGGTTCTTTATTGGGACGCTCGAATCACGTAGATTGAATTATATCACCATAAATATACCACCTGAGAATCTACTTAAATGCCCCTTTTAACACAAATGTAGAAAACTATGCTCGCGCTTTTTTTTTAATCTAAACGTTTGTGTTTTTGATAAAATCTACTTGTTAATTTCTCGTAAAAAAAAAAAGCGACAAAAACAACTATAGATATTTGGTATGACTTATAATTAAAGAAGACAAAAATATGGTCCCGGAAGCTTTTCCTAAACCACGTCATTGTTGATCGTGGCGGAAAACTAGACGCACGATATGAATCTTAGGGTGTATAGACGTTTGCATAGAGCCACGCTTCGAGAGCTAGTCTGGCGACCGTGAATGGAAAACGCGGGGTTGATGTTTTTAG